TGTCTCATGCCATGCGCAACTACGATGTGGGGAACCGGGAGCTGCTGGCTGTGAAGCTGGCACTGGAGGAATGGAGGCACTGGTTGGAGGGGGCAGAGCAGCCCTTCCTAGTCTGGACTGACCACAAGAACCTGGAGTATATCCGTGGAGCCAAGAGACTAAACTCCAGACAGGCTAGGTGGGCCCTGTTCTTCACCAGGTTTGAATTCACCCTGTCTTATCGCCCTGGTTCCCGAAACGTCAAGCCGGATGCCCTGTCCAGGCAGTTTGAGGCCGAAAACCGCCCCCAGGATGCAGCTCCTATCCTGCCCTCCGACTGTGTGATCGGGGCGGTGACCTGGGACATCGAGAGGGAGGTCCAGCAAGCACTGTTGATGGCCAGGATTCCTGTGGGTTGCCCCCCTGGCCGGCTCTTTGTCCCAGGTCCGCTCCGCTCCCGAGTCCTGCAGTGGGGGCACTCCTCTCTATTAAGCTGTCATCCTGGGGTGAGTAGAACACTAAGCCTCCTCACACAACGTTTCTGGTGGCCCTCCCTCAGGGAGGATACCCGTGAGTTTGTCTCTGCCTGTCCTGTCTGTGTCCGCAGCAAGGTCTCTCGAAACCCTCCTGCCGGTCTGCTTAGGCCCCTACCTGTTCCTCGCCGCCCCTGGTCCCATGTGTCTCTGGACTTTGTCACAGGTTTGCCACCCTTGGGGGGTAAGACTGTCATACTCACCATCGTGGATCGTTTTTCCAAGATGGCCCATTTTGTCGCCCTGCCTAAGTTGCCTTCCGCCAGGGAGACAGCGAAGGCAGTTTTATTTAATGTGTTTCGTCTCCATGGTCTTCCTCGGGACATTGTGTCTGATCGGGGTCCCCAGTTTGCCTCACGCTTCTGGAAGGAGTTCTGCCGGCTGCTCGGAGCGTCGGTCAGCCTCTCCTCCGGAGAGGTATAATCAAGAGATGGAGACAGCTCTCCGCTGCATCTCCTCCCAGAGTCCAACCAACTGGTCGCAGCAGCTCCTCTGGGTGGAGTATGCCCATAACTCCCTTCCGGTGGCTTCTACTGGCCTGTCCCCGTTCCAGTGTGTTTACAGGTACCAGCCCCCTTTTTTCCAGGACCTCGAGGGGGAGGTCACAGTTCCATCAGCCCACGCCTTGGTCCGCCGATGTCACCTCACCTGGAGGAGAGCCCGGGCAGCCCTTCTCCGCACCAACATTGGGTACCAGAGATCCGCCAACCGCCGTCGCTCCCAAGCCCCTCGCTACCGCGTTGGTCAAGAGGTTTGGCTGTCCACCCGTGACCTGCCGGTTCGGGGGGAGTGTCGCAAGCTGGCTCCAAGGTTCGTGGGGCCCTTTCCCATCTCAGAGGTCATCAACCCTACTGCCCTTCGCCTTCGCCTTCCTCGGACCATGAGGGTCCACCCCACCTTCCACGTGTCATGGATCAAACCCGTCAGGACAAGTCAACTGCTCCCACCCTCCGACCCGCCTCCACCACCCAGGTTAATTGGTGGAGGCCCAGTTTACACGGTGAATCGACTGCTGGCTGTCCGTCGTAAGGGCAGGGGGCGCCAGTAACTCGTCGATTGGGAAGGGTACGGGCCCGAGGAGAGGTCCTGGGTCCCCGCAAAGGACATACTGGACAAGACATTAATCAGAAACTTTCAGAGACTGAATCCAGATGTTCCGGGGTCGTCTAGAGACGCCCCTTGAGGGGGAGGTACTGTCATGATCTGTGCTGTGAAATCCACTTCCTGTTTTATTTTGAAGATCCTGTTTTTCCTGTGTTGCTGTCACCTTTACTTCCGGTCTTTGTTCCTTTTCCCGCCTTAGTTAATTACCCCATTGGCTTCACCTGTGTTTTGTTCCCTTCCCTATTTAACCCCTCCTCACTAGTTCTTCCCTGCCAGATTGTCTTAGTCATTTAAGTACAAGCTCTCTCGCGTTCTTTGATATATCTCTGCTCCCTTGTATGACCTGTTTTGATCGTCCTGGATTTTGATTCTTGCCTGTCCCACTGGTTTTTGTCGCCATATCTCTGCTCCCTGTGTATGACCTGTTTTGATCATCCTGGATTTTGATTCTTGCCTGTCCCACTGGTTTTTGTCGCCTGATATTTGGCTGCTCTGATTTTTGACCCTGCCGGGTTTCTTTTTGTGGAATAAAAGAGTTGCCCTTTGGAAACTGAACTATTGCCTCACGTCCGCTGCTTTTGGGTCCACACACTCTCGGCACCTCACAACACCCTTGCCCATGCCCTTGCCCTCCTTGCAACCCCCCCCCCCCCCACACACACACACACACACACATACACACACACACACGAACCTCTAACAACACTAAGATATAGGCTACCAACCATTTTACTCGAGTCTCACATGATGTAGACCTAATTAGGATCAGAATATTAGGATTCCAGGACTGAAATATGGTACAAGGAAGCCAGTAAGTAAGTCCATGGGTCCAAATTTGGATTCTGCATAGTGGAAAATGTATGATTTGACACCAAGTTCATCCAAATAGGACAAGTCTATGGGATTTTATTGTAAAAATGCAATATTACTGTATTTTCAATGGTGGCCATCTTGAAAAATGGCCGCCATCTTGAATTTTCATTTGGCCAGACGGAAATATCAAAAGAGCAACTTCTAAGGAGTATGTGTGCCAATTATGGTGCTTTTATCCGCAAGTGAACGATTATTACAGTTATCTGCCCAGCTATACATGCTGCAGTTTACAATAAAGTACTAAATTATATAATTATATCTTGTTCATACCTTATCATGACTCATGCCGTGAGACATGTTGATAAGCCTCTTTCCAAGTCCAGCCTGCGCAAGCCTGAACTCTTCTTCTGGTGTTGGGGTTGACTCTGAGTTCAGGATCATCAGTTACAAATAAAAAGTGAAGGGTTTCCAGGGTTTGGGAGGTGTGGCCTTAGGTGTCATCTTTCTCCTCCCAAGGAAGGAGCCTCTCTTGGGGAGGAAACCAAAAGATCTGCACAATAGTAATAAAATGCAAGAAATAAAAACACATGAAAAAAACTTGAACCATATTAGTTGGCCACCATGGTCCCTAGACTAGGCACCCACTCTACATAAGACACAGGGTTCCTACAGACTCTAATTTTCAAACTTATCGGTAGAACTTTCAGAGTAAATAGATGCGTATCATGTAAATAAATTAAACAATTCAATTTAACTTAGATATTATGAACAGTATACTATTATGTTGCCAAATGTACAACCAACCTTTACAGTTGTAAATAAAATTCATACCTGAAATGTAGTACATAATATGTCTTACACTAATAGAGGCAAGATGCTATAACTTGAAAAATGTTGTTGCCATGGCAATTTAATACTGTAGATATATCTTCAGTACAATATACTACACTCTATCACAATTAAATTTATGAATGAACATACATCACAATGATGTTGTTCAACATATAAATTGTGGAAATCAAGTACAATGTCGGATAGCTTATGCTGATAGGACTTAGTACATCTGTATTAAATCATTTTGTTTTTGACATATAGCTTTTTCCTGCCTAGTTAGTATTTACATAAAGGTTTGTCTTTGTTCAAAGTTGTTAAGTGAGTTGCCAAAATGAAACCACAAATTTAGCCATTTATATAATAATGTAATGACTGAATGCAATTAATTTATCAGAAAATGTACATAGAAACTTTGTATAAATTGATATGGCACCTAGATCTGCCATTTTCAAAGAATCTTGCACCAGAATTGCAATGCTTTGGTCATTAAATTAAAATGCATTTCAAACCTGTTCATCTCTTCATCCACCAGACCTTGCGCATGGGGACTCAGTATATTCACCAAGTTCTGTGCAACTGAAGCAACAGAAGCCACATTTCCATTTGCATCAGCATTCTGTCAAACAACAGAAAATAACATTGATTCATTTCCATTTTACCCATTACATGCCACTTGGCATATACAGTAGAGCAGGTTAACGCCACTGTCACTCATGGCAGACCACGCCCCTCTCAGTTGAGGCCTGCCTCCACGGAAAAACAGGGCCAAAAGTGAACCTGAAACTTTTCAAGTTGAATCCTTAAAAATACGATCTGAATCTGAAAAATAATAATCTGAAACCGAAAAAAACGTTTTGAATCCGTAAAAATAAGATCTAAATCAGAAATAAATAAAATAAAAAATTGAATTGAAAAAAAGGACTCCAAGATCGAAATATACATTGAAGTGAAAAATAAAAATAAGTAATTTATTCAAAAGTATTAAAAAACAGAATAAAAGTTACGTTTGAACAGATTTTTGTCATGCATTCTGGGATTTCTCAAAGTTCAATTTCGAAATTCAAGACTTTCAGGTACCATTTTTTTTTTTTTTTCAGGTTCAAATCTTATTTTTCCACTTCACTTTTTATTTTTTCACTTACACTACTTTTGGTAAACAATCAATACTTTTGAGCCTGATCTGGCTCCGTAGAGTTCAGTCAGGACCACTTTAGTCAAAATAATTATTTATTACAAGCAAACATTTTTTACATTGTTGGTATGGCTATGTTCTGAGAGTTCCCTGCCCTTTCAGGCGCTTGCATGGAATTCCACGGCTATAAGAGGGGCGAGCCCCTCCCCACCCTTTCATGTGCATACATGATAAGCCAAGGCAGAGAAAGCAGCAGCAAATAAATACGATTAAGGTAAATAACTTAGAATCCCCCAAACAACCATACCAGGCGACCCTCCAGGCTTTCATGTAGCACAAGAAAGCCAAGGCAGGGAAAGCAGCAGCAAATAAATTAAAAGCCCCCCAGAACAACCATACCAGGCAACCCTCCCCAGCATTCATGAGCTACATGAAAGCACCTACAGGGGAGGGAGAGCAGCAGCCAGCCAGCAAGAAACTATGAAGCAACCTACCCACCTCCCAAGGTTGTGTAGTATAGGTTACCCTCAAAACATGATCATGGAACAGGATTAATTTCATCCATACGCATATTTATAATTGGGAAGATGCTTAAGAATACAATAGATATGGGACAGAATTATTACACAGAAGCATTTTTCAAAGCACTAACAGCTAATTGAGCATAAGAATTTCTTGAGCCTCAGGCCTGAGGTATTATGATGAGGACCATTGACCCGTAGCCTTGAGTGTTAAGACGGGGACAATGGAGGATGCAGTTGTAGCTGCATGTATGCATGTATGCATGTATGCATCTATGCGCGAGTTGCACTCGGGTGGGAGCCAGCAGGAGTGGCAGAGCAGGCAGAGGTGAGCAGAAAACCACCATCTGGATATAGGTTTCCCTTCTTCTGTGGCAAAGAGAGGCTCTTGCTAGCTGGCCAGTGGCTGGCCTCTCAGGTAGTGGGACATGGAGGACAAAGTACAAAGTCAGAGTTAGTTCGAGTAATAAAAGACGCATTACATTTTCTTTAGTTTTTGAGTACTTAGAAATAGAGTGAAATTGTGAGGCTTAATTTCTATGTCAGCAAGAATGAGGTCATGTGTAGGATTGAAATAATTAGTGCGTATAGTGAATTCACTACCTCTGAGATACCCATAGAAAGCTGTGAGGAACACTGTTCCAAAGCAAATCAGTATAAGGACCAAAGCAACCACCTCTTGAATAAGTGATTAGGTTTTTTAGAACCAGGGGAGTAAAGGGGAGATGTTTATCTTTGTCTTGCGGCCTTTCCTTCTTTAGGCCATTGAGCAGGAGATGAATAAGCAGGCTGGTGGTAGATGGGGTCAGACAGCGCAGATGGAACTGAATACCTGCTACAAGTCCTTTAATGTAGGATGGCAATATTTGCAAGATTCAAAACAGTATTAATGCACAAACAATGGATATATTTACAGCGTTGGAGCTACAGAGAAGGTGGTACAAAAGAGATAAAGTAAGACCATGCAGAATCATATTAACTTAAATGCTGATTTTGCTTAACCAGCTATCGTATAGCGGGCAGCAGAGAGCACACAAGTTTGCAAGACTGCACTCAGACAAATTCAGTCTGAGTGAATGGGGGACAGGTCCGGCTGGATGGTGCTGCCTCCCGGCACAGCACAGAAGTGACCAAACCGCAGTTTGGATCTGCAACTTTCATCTAAACTTACCCTTTCATGGAGTTTCTCAACTGATTTGATGAGGTTGAGAAGTCTAGATATAAAGGACCGCCCCTGAGGCATGACACGCATGACAAATTAATATGCCAAAGCAAAGAGAAAAGTTCTCTTTTCGGTAGATGTACTGCCTCTCGAGGATGACCCGTTACTTCTCTGCTTGTCCCCGAGTATTTACCCGTAGCTATGCCTAAAGGATGAATGCAGGTAATTGAAAGGTGACTTGGCATAGGGTCCAATCATGAATCTTTTCTTAACCTCTTCTCCATCTACTATTTCAAGATCTTTTATCATGGATTGTAATTTTTTTTTTACACACAAAACACACTTTTGGCAGCCAGACCAAACCTGCTAGGAACCCCTGAACCAGTCCTGTCATCAAATAATTCACAAACAGCAGTTGGGATGCTTTGCCAGTGCCTTCCCCAGCTCAGGGACATTTGACAGAGTAGACAGCTTTATTCTCCTTTTTTACAAGGTGAGTGCATCTTGGGCATGCTGATTTTAGATGTCTGTCCTTGCAGTAACTTGGCTTTGCTGAGTTGTAAACTTAGAAGAAGCTTGGTGGTTGGCCTGTAGGCACAGTTTTAGGGCACAGATTGGAGGTGTGAGAAGGGGTTAATATAGGATAATATTCTTGCATGTACTGTCCCCGTAGGCTTGAACAAGGGGAGGATACCCACATTTAGCGAGATGTGGACTCTGATGCCAGAGTATCATCATCTGCTGCATCTCTCTCTCTCTTGAACATAAAATCAATTTATTTATTTGTTGATTTATTTATCATTTTGTCTTATTTCTGCATTAAGATTGAAGCGGCTATCTGTTTAAAAGTTCCCTCCTTCCACAAAAGGCGGGAGGCGGGCCCCAGCACCTTGGCAACCAGCGTCCAATCAAAAGTGCGATTGGATTTCTATAGTTACAATGCAGAGTGCAGACTGATGTACGGCAACACACTAAGCAAATGTACCCTACATATACTGCAGGGGTGAAGGTTTGCGTACCGCTGCATACCGGCTGTAAACTGCTGATTATGTCTTCCTGGAACGGCGTACTTCTGTGTCCCGCTGCATATCGGCTTACTGGCTTACTTCCACCTCTGGGTGTGAAAGAAAGACACACAGATTGAGCAGGAAAAAGCTTGAGGCCCAGTGAAATTTCTACTGATTTGTGATATTACTAGAATAATATTCTTCCATAAGTCATGGCTGAATCAGAAATGATGGCAAGATATGTGTCCAGTTCAGTTCTGCGTGCTGAAAACACTTCACATATGAAATTTCCAAATACGCTGAAAGCTACATGAATTCAGCTAAGGTCGGAGAGTTAAACAGCCGGGGATCACCATCTTTAACGTGCCCAACTGGATTCTGAGGCTTCGATCCTTGAAGACATATGGGTAGGTGATGGCTGGATGCTAGATGCTAGGTGCGTTCAGGATGGGACTGTCGTCCAGGTCGATGGGTCTGGTAGCTGGGATTGGCCCGTGACGCTGCGGGAACAGTGTTTTCTTTTCTCCGTTGCTTTTCTAGAGACAAAGGAGGAAGAGAGAACTGCAAGTGGAGGCTCAATCTCTATACACACACACACACACACACACATATATATATACATATATACTGTATATATATATATTTTTTATTATTCATAAACAAGGTGAAAATCTCTTGATGTGAGGCACCATCTGGAGCTGTGATGTTATTTTTAAAGGACTTCCAGGGGCCTGGACACCGCCATTCATGAAGCTAGGAGAAAGAAGTTTTACTTGCCAGAGGATAGCTCATGCGGAAGGGAACGTAGCTGCCATTGCAAGGACTGGCTTCCTCGACTTCACATTGCTGATGTTGCGCAGTCAATCTGCCATGGATCCACGTCGTGGGCCGGGATCAACATGATGAAGAGCAAGGTAGAAAAAAGCAAAAATGCAGATCTGAGTGTTCTCAAGAGAATGGGAGCTTGCAGAGTAGATGCAGCCCTGCAGAGTGGTTGCTGCAGGCAGGAGAAGCAGTTTAAATAGGGCACCATTTTGACATTAGCCAATAGGATGTGTAGACAGCGATCACCTGAGCTGTCAACTGACTGAGGGCTGGCTTAAGATCAGCTGACTGTAACCTTTAGCTTGACTCCGTGTCCTGCCTGAACGACCGCTATGCTTCATTAGCCTACAGCTTTTGTGGGGGGATTCTGGGAGTGGACTGCAATAGAAGGACAGTCATTGTCTGTACTAGATCGCATTTTTGAAGATTCGATTAAAGTGATACAAAATTGAAACTCAAGAAGAAATGAGAATAAATAGTGTATGATATGCAAATGCAAGTACAGCATCAAACACTTGAACACTCATATCTACAAATCCATACGTAGATCAACAAATGCACACTTACATCAAAAAATATATACGCAGATCCATTGCTGCATATGCATGTGCACGCTGGGATCCACAAATATGTGTGCAGATCAAGACACACAAGGACAGATCCACAAATAATCCAGATCCACAAGTCCAAATGCATATACAAAAATATGTAGGTAGGGCCAGAAATATTTGCAAAAACCCACAAAAGGGTATGCAGACCTTCAAATTATTAGACCAAACTCTAAGTGCAAACTTTGATTTTGTGGATCTATAGTTGGGAGTAAAAATCCATCCAAGTCTTTGTGCATCTTTATTCATTTTTGGGACATTACAGCTATTTTTTTAAATCATTTATTGCAGATCTTAAGAAAAAGCCGGTTAAGTGTATTTTGGGTCCACAAATAAAAATAAGCGTATTCCCCTGGATGCGTGTACCACTGGCTTAACACTGATACAAAAACTACATTGGGGAAAATTCAAATGTTTCTGCACTACCTGATAGGTGAAAACCACCTCCGCTTTTCAGATTCAGTCGTTTCAGATTCTTCTTGATGTACAATATAGGGAAGATCGGATAGATCTGTCCAGGGAGGAGTGTTTGGCCGTTTCCACCCTGAAGCTCTTTATAATATCACTACTGTTGACAGCAGGGTCCTGAGAGGAGCCAGAGTCAGACAGTTCAGCTCAGTGACACACCCATGCACACACTCCAAGTAGCTTTGTATGCTTCCCATATTCCCTTGGGCTGGTTGAGTTTCACCTCTATGTCCTGTCAATTCCTTAAGCCAGAGCACCTTTTACACACTCTTAGAGGTCCCTCTGACACACAAACAGAATACAGTGTGTGTGTGTGTGTGTGTGTGTGTGTGTGTGTGTGTGTGTGTGTGTGTGTGTGTGTGTGTGTGTTTGTGTGTGTCTGCCATTCAAGGTGGCTGATGAATGTCATCTCTAGATAGGCCAAATGGCACTATGCACGTCACTCATCTATGAGCACCTACTAACAACAATTGACACACGTTCACCAACATGTGCATATGTTTTTATAAGTTTTTGGCCTCTCATCTGTGTGCACTGTGCAGCAAAGGTGGCTGAGATTTTCACTGTAAATATTACATGTAAGGGTGTGGTAAAAGGAGACAGGGTCAGAGGTTAAGAATAAAGCTACTCTTGCTTAATTTTTCATTGTTTTTATTATTCTTCATATTTCCTTTTGTTGTACCAGGAGTAATAAATGAATACATTTCAGTAGTGGTGGGCAAAACCGTTCATTTCAGTGAACCGGATCATTCCGGGTCGTTCAGTAAAAAGACCCGTTCATTTCGGTCATTTCGGTCAATCGGTCATTAGTCAGTCCACTCGTTCATGTTGTTCACGTTCGTGATGAACGAACGGACTGACTGCACTTCAGACTTAACAGCGCAACAACATGTGATCTTGAAATCTGAAGCATTACACCCCTCCGGATCCGACGTTGCGAGCGTCTCAGCTCCCCGGTCCGACGTTACGACCCCCCCGCGGTCCGACGCTGTGACCGCTGCACTCCCCACTTCCCACCCCCGGTCCAACGCTGCGATCGCGCTGCACTCCTTGTAATATAAAATTATAGTAGGAGTAACAAAATATATAAGGTTTTTAATGGTTTTTATTATTTTGAGGTGCATTAAAAACAATAATAAAAAGTACAAAATGTCAACAGACAGTGCAAATGCGTATTAATAGTTGTCTCTCTGCCTCTGGCTGCAGCAGCAGCTGTGTGCCTTTGTGTGTGTGTGACTGTCCCGCTCGCTCGGGCTCGGCTGTCGGGCCTCGTGCGGCGGCCAGTCAACTCGGTCTTTCAGTCAACTCGTTCATCGGTCTGGATCTTTCGTTCACTCGGTCTTTCAGTCAACTCGTTCACCGTCTGGATCTTTCGTTCACTCGGTCTTTCAGTCAACTCGTTCACCGTCTGGATCTTTCGTTCACTCGGTCTTTCAGTCAACTCGTTCATCGTCTGGGTCTTTCGTTCACTCGTACTTTAAGTCAACTCGTTCATCGTTCTGGATCTTTCGTTCACTCGGTCTTTCAGTCAACTCGTTCATCGTCTGGATCTTTCGTTCACTCGGTCTTTCGTTCAACTCGGTCTTTCGTTCATTTGACCCGTTCTTTCAGTCAACTGGGTCATTCTGGTCTTTCAGTCAGCTCAGTAGTACTGCTGCTGCTTCTCTAAGCCCCACCCACACACAGAACGAGGCGCGACGATAGGATAAGACAGGCAAGCACGGAGATAGTCCCTCTTCAGCCAATCAAAAGAACTGAACGGACTGAACGGGTCATTTAGGGGGGGAGAACTAGTTCATTTCGTTCACCAAAAAGAACTAGTTCTTTTGATCCGTTCGTTCAAGACCGACACACCACTACATTTCAGTCAAACAGTGCTATAGAGAAAGAGAGACAATGTAACAGATCAAGACAACGAATAGACTAGAGACTTAAGAATGGATGTGATTATGAATATCAAGTCTGGTGGTGCTCTGTGATCCTCTTGCGGACCAATGTACATCCAGAGTGCATTCAGTAGTACACTGTATGCTAATCTTCATACACTTACATACTGTAAATACCCTAGTTAGGGTAAGGCAAGACTTTTAACGTTTGTCAATTGTTGCAATGCCTGTATGTTACACTGAACTGATTTTAACACAGTGCAGCCAGCTGGTGAATAATCATTGTGAATAAAGTCATTCTCTATTATGAAAAATGACATTCTTCATTATTTGTTTTGCCTTTTTTGGAAAATGTATGGAATACCCTGCCTGTCTGATACACAGGCATTAGCGTAACATTACCTGTTCATTTGGTCTGTGTCACTGTTTGCATCTAGATAATATTAGTGGTCTTCAGAAAATGAAATATCCAAGTTGGCACCTAAGTAAAAAACAAACAAAAAAAGGGTAGTGCCAAAAAGATGCTCTTTTGTTGCTTATTTTCATATCATATGAGGTTTGGGATATAAGAATAAGAGGAACTTTATTCATCCCCGAAGGTAAATTCAGTTGTCTGTTGTCTCACTTGACATGTCTCTAAAAGTTTTTTACTATTTACACAAGAGTTATAAAGTCTAATGGTTGTGGGTACAAACAAGTGGGTGGATTACTCTTTCCAAACTTTTTTTAGGCTCTCTGATTCTGAAAAACTCACTTGTGATTCTTCACTTAGCTCATTCTCTAAACTGAGTGAGAGCAAAGTCATCGGGCTTCTGCTTAGCTCTAAGCCTGCAACCTGTCTACTTAATCCAATTCCTTCACATCTCCTGCAAGCAATTGAGCCTACAATTAGCCCTGCTTTAATATGCATCATTAACTCCGCTCTCTCCACTGGTGTTTTCCCTGCTGCATTCAACTGAGGGTCAGACCATTGCTCAAAAAATTCACTTCTCCCATTCCTATCGAAAATACTGGAGCCAACAGTCTTCAATCAGTTTTCAGAATACCTACAGAACCATGATCCACTTGATCTGAATCAGTCAGACTTTAGGTGGGAAACTACACTTTTGCGGGAAATGCAATCATTGTGCTTGGCTGAAATGGTTGGTCAGCCCTCAGTCCTTTTGCTGCTGGATCCGTCTGTTGCCTTTGACATAGTAAATCACCAAATCCTCCTCTCCACACTCTCCTTACTTGGTATCTCCTCCAGTGGTTCAAATCCTACTTCACAGGGAGACCTTTTAGAGTATAATGGAGGGAAGAAATGCCTAATATGCATGGCTCATCAACAAGGGTGCCTAATAGGTCAGTTCTTGGTCCCCTCCTACCATGGCTTCTCCTATCACTGCCATGTAGATGATACAAAGCTTTTCCTATCCTTTCCACTAGACCCTACAGACCTTTCAACACAGTTCCTGGTTCAGGCTCTTGAAATATCACACAACAACTACTGTAACTACTTACTGGCAGGCTTCTCTGCTTGCGCAGTTAAACCTCTGCAGATGACCCAGAATGCAAATGATCCTAAAGGCTAAAACAAACAGGATGCCTATTTGGAGCCTGGAAGCAGCGTCAGGTATCACGCAGCAAATAGGTTGCCATTCTAATCAATGCAGCAAAGCATACAGGACGCGTATCAGCTCCATCACACCATCGTATCAAGAGCAGAGCTCTACGCTTTCAATACACGTCAATCCACAAACGATCCGAGAAGATCGTTCCAGACAGGAAGTCAAGCATGAAAACCGCGCATGTCATTCAGTATTTCAAAATAAAACACCATATTTGAACTCTTGACTGTGTATCGTTCGTGTAGATGAGAAACACTTCCTGGTTATGGATTTATCAGTAACACAGAACAATCCGATGGTCAATCCCTGATCCATGTGGACCTCAACAGGACATTTAACAGCTAGCACTGTCTGAGGGCAACAGCACAGCATAAAGGAACATAGTTTACTTTATTAAACACCTGCAAAAACTGAAACTGTAAAATCACGTTGCTTTTTCACATATAGTAGAAGCTCAACAGACACTGAATTATATCCAAATTAGCAGGAAATAGACCACAGAAAGGGAGAAAAAACCTGTTGTGAGCATGTTGTCTCCTCTATACTGAGCCCAGCTGGCCGTGGTAGCAGCATAGTGCAGCATACAGGATGCATATTTGGAGAGTGGCTGCACGCTCCAAATATGCATCCTGTATGCACTACCCAATGTTGCTCTATGAAGCAAATATGGAACGTGCTCAATATGAATTCTGTATGTTTTTGGCTTAACCCTAACCCAAGCGTTACATTTCTTCTTACTCTAGCATGGATCATAATTGTGGCGATGTTCACAAACACATTGGCCCTCATTTATCAAGCTTGCGCAGATCTGAGCACAGGATTCATCCTACGACAGGACACACGTGAGATTTATGAAAGGGTTCGTATCTGACCAATCCCAGCGTACGTTTGATCGGGTCTTGGTAAATGTGGCGGCTGAAATCGATCGTCATTAACATGTTTACATCCTTAAATATTTGTGGTTCAGAAGCCTCGCCCACTGAGGTCAAACATGAAAGAGGAGAAATATTAGAATGATGCAAAACTTTTTCGAGCTGAAAGTGGATATCCTCACATCTGTGGTGGAAACTAACAAGGATTTGCTCTTTGGAAGCTTCAAAACTGGAATAAAAGCAGTCCAGAAAACTCCTGTCTGGAGCAGGATTATGGTGGCGCTGAACAGCACTGCCGTGGAATAGCAGACAGTGGCTGAAGTTTGAATCAATCATTAGTCAATAAGTTGCTCGTGATGACAAATTAATATCTCATACATGCCTCATATTTTTTATTGCCATGACATAGGGTACATTGCTCCTATTACTGAAAGTATTTAGTTTTAGTTTGTTTCGTCTCTGTAATGTAGAGGAGACTGGAGAGTCTGACAGAGGCTGAACAAAAATAACTATTAACGTCACCAAATGGTGTGTTGCTGCCCCTGAGGCACATTTTTATGGATTTCTATTGGATTTTTATCACTGATTAAATAGCATGTCAGAATCCATCAATAAGGTCCTGTCTCCTCTGTACAGCACCTTTGTGGAGTCGCTCCTCATTATTGTTTTCCAGGCATCGGGTCCTCCTGTTGCACCGGCACAGCCAACGGCACTCCATTCACCAGTGCAACATTGTGCAAAACTGTACTGGCTTAAATGATGTCCCACACCCTTTCAGGATTGTACAACAACGTCCCCACTGCTGGGCCAAGACAGAGACACCTGCCTTTTAGGAGTCAAACGCAGCCCTTCACAGTGGCCGAGGGCGTGTGGGCGCAAAGGTAAGACAGCGCTCCTGCTCTGTGGCAGTGTTTCTGGGCAGAGTTATCAAATAGGCCTATTCACTAAGGACATAACAAATTTATTTTATTTTATATTATTTACGTCTTAGGGCTCTATTTTCGTGCCTGGCCTGCGATAGTTGTGGAGACATCCACACAAACAGTGAATACAACCAACAAGCGAGGTGTACAGGCTGTGTTAATTACATTAAATATCAATTGAACGAATGATGTACGGATTCACTGCCCCCTATCGGCCAGAAGGGGCCAGAACGAGTGGGGTCTGTGACGTCACTCTCCGGCGCCACTTGAGATTGCGAATCAGATTGAATTACGAGACACTTTTTGCGGGGTGAGCATGACAACAAAAAAGGATTTCTGAGTTTGGTTTTGCTTTTCAATTTAGTCACAAAATGAGCAGTCTTGAAGAAGAAAATGAAAATGCATTTTGGATGTTTGCTTTTGATTTTGATTTTTGAGTCAAAGAGTGCAGCCATGACTTTGAAATGAAAAAGCATTTCTGCTAATGCTTTTGAAATTGAGATATTAGTCACTATCGCTTTCATACATCTGAGTTAAAAGAATCAGAGAACACTGAGCACAAAATGGGGGTTAGATTAGTTTGAGATTAACCCAATTGCAAAGATGATACAGCTGAGATTTATTCCTGTGTGATTGGCACATCAGGGTTTTCCATAATATTAGAGTCTGTTAAACACTCTAAAGAGTAAAAAATTGAGTAGTTCTAAACTTGTAATTAATCTCTTTCTGGTCAGATATTATAACTTCATTATCAGTCTTTACCCTGGCAGTAAGTTGTTTCTTATGCTAATGTTAGCTTTTCTCTGCTTGTAAGCAGTCATAGTGGCTGGCGTATGGGTGCCGCTGTACTAAAGAGGTTGTAAGATGTGACACTTTGGTCATATTGCATACCTACAGTCGCCTGTGTCTACATGGTAGTCTGTTGGCATCTACATCAGCACCAATGCTTTTTTACTTTCATGTTGACTGGGCCCCATTTCTGGTTATTTTCATAAAAGCTTTATTGGATTCAAGATGGCGGCACGCACGGGTGCAGCGGCTCTTAGCTCTCCAGTTTGGTGCTTATTTTTTATATTTTTGTGTGCACTCCTTTATTTAAATAAGGCAGCCATTTCGTATAGTCGTCAGACTTTACTCGACTTTGGCTGCAGGTGCAGCTTGGCGGTTACTGGTGACTATCAACAAATACACAACATCCCGGGGGACATAGCGAGAATGTCGGGGTCTCCGTGGATGGTCAGCCCGCCCGCAGAGGCGGGGCAAGGGTCCTTTGGGGCTCAAAGCAAGAAATTTGTGGGGCCCCCACCCCATCCCTGTACACTGAAAAAATTCGGTTTTTGCACACAATTTCTGGGACATTTGATATGTATACTGAAAATAATACTTTAGAAGAGATTAGGGGTTCTCAAAGTGAATTTCAGGGAGGAACAGAAATCCTTAAAACCCTACACCTATCAATAATTGTTGTTGTAAATTAACTGACACCAACACAATATAAAATATGAACTTTTCTAATATTGTTAACAATAAAATAAATAGAAAAATAAAATTGCAACAATGTAGACACCAGTTGACATGCAAGCGAATGATGAATAAATAACAGTAAATAAATAAATGAATAACAGAACAAACAAAAACCGAACAAAACAAACTTGACATGGCTTGTGCAAAACAGGGTACCCACAGGTCCGCTGTTCTAAAAATGTTGCTTACGAGCCTTAGCTTGTGCAAATACTGTAACAAAGTCATCTAGATCCAAAGACCTTCGCACATTGTGCTCAATGGAAATGAGAGCAAGTCCAGAAAGTCTCTCCTGGGACATGGTTGACCTGAGGTAGTTTTTTATGAGTTTCAAAGCAGAGAAGCTTCTCTCACCAGAGGCAACGGTGATTGGCAGAGTTAGAAGCAGACGAAGAGCAATGCTGAGGTTTCCATAGAGATCCAGAAGCTGCTCCTTGTAGATGTAATCCAGCATCATTCTTGGACAGGAGGCTACAGCATCAGGGAAGGTATGTATTGCAGCGCTTATCTCCAGGACCAAATCCTCAGACTCTACATCCTGTAGTGTTTTTTCGAGGTTCTTGCAGTTGTCCGTGAGTTTGCCGAGCTGATCACTCTCTCTCATGTTTCTTTTGAGAACAGGAAACCATAAAGGCCAAAAACATCTTCCATTTTTGAAAATCGGTCAGTCAAACTAGTGAGGGCTGTGTCCACTAAGGGGAGGAAAAACTCCCTCTTAAACTGCTCATCTGGGGTGGACTGGCTTTCTTCTCTGCCCTCATACAGAAACTGCTTGGTAGTTTTTCGCTGTCTTTTTGCCGGAAATGTCCTGTCAATTTCAAGGCTCTCTGCTATCTTTGTAGCATCACTTTGAGCAGCAGCAAGTCCACTTTCCCTTGCATTCTCCAGATAGGTTCTCACTGCGCTTGTTTCTGCTTTAAGTGTTTCAAGAGAAACACTGGGGCTCTGTAGAATCTTGCTTACCCGGTTGATCTGGTACAAAATATTATACCAGATAACAGTGCACAGTACAAATCTCCATGTCATGAGTTCGGCCTTTATGCTCGTTGCTGTGGACAATGTCTCAGAGTCCTTCTTCTGAACTGAGAGGGTTTGGAGGCCAGACAGTGCTTGTATGAGTTCTGGAAGGTGGTAACGGACAACTTTCACGCTGTCAATCCTGGCTTCCCATCTGGTCACTGACAAGGATTTTACTGTTGCGTGCTTGACATGTTCCTGCAGAACTGCCCAGCGTTGCACAGAGGAGCTGAAAAGATTGTACAATCTCGGAAGAACACCGAAGAAGGAGATGGAGCCTACAGAAGATTTGGCAGCATCTGCTACAACCAGATTAAGAGTGTGGCTGCTGCATGGGACACACAATGCCTTCTCATTCAGTTGCAGCAGTCTTGCTTGAACCCCTTGTTTATGTCCCATCATGTTGCTCCCATTGTCATAAGATTGTCCACGGCAGTCTCTGATGTTCAAGTTGAGCTCATCCAACTTTTCCAAAAGTGTCTCGGACAGACCTCTTCCAGTTGTGTCTTGAACATCAACAAATCCAATGAAATGTTCAGAGATCGATGCACCAACTGATGGCTCACGTTTCACCACTCTCAAGACGATAGACAGTTGTTCGGTGTGGCTTGTGTCAGGAGTACAATCCATTATGACAGAGAAGTACTTTGCTGCTTTCACCTGTCTGGCTATCTCCTCACTGATTTTGCCTCCCACCAATGAAATGATTTCATTTTAAATGTCATTACTGAGGTAGTGCACTTTTGTTTGTTTGGTTTGAAACTTTCTTATGTGTTCATTCATGATGGGATCAAACTGGGCCATCAATTCCATCTGGGCTAGGAAATTGCCATTATGTGGATCATATAGAGCCTCTGTATGCCCCCTCAAAGCTTGATTTCTTTCAGCTAAATAGCATATGATGGCAATAACTCTGTGTATTACACCTCTCCAGTGCTCTACCTCAAGATGCATCAAATTCTGGTTTATCTGATCAATGGCTGTTTTAGTTTTGAGCCTTGTGTTGAGTTCCTGCCAACTCATCATATTGGTATGATGTGCCTTTGAATGCTCATGTTCCTTTAAATGACTAGCTATGTTTTTCCGATACCTAAATCCCCCTTTGGTAAGTGAATTGTCCAATTTTCCAAAAATTTTGCAAGCAAAGCAGAAGGTGGACTCTGTACTGACTGAATACATGAGCCATCTTTGCTGTATTTTGTTGCCGTTTTTCATGGTCATTTCATAATATTCCCTTTTGAATCTCCGTGGAATTTTGTCCGTGTTCTGGGGGAAAACCATATCTTTCACCTGTTTGGGTCCTCATGTTACCAGTTGGCACACTTGGGTATGGTTGAGGATGGTTGGCCATTGTGCAGGGTCCTCTGAGATCAACTGTTCACATTTGGGTCTTGATGGAGCTGATGACAAAAAAAGAAAAAAAACAACAAGGCATATTTGTTATAAATAATCTTAACTAGCATGGGCTAATTACAGCAATTCTTGTTGCAGTTATTATTATTGTCATTGTTATATGTTCTCTATGGAAGTAAAAAAAAAACTATTGAACTCACTGTCATCTGTGTCCGCAGTTGGACTTGACCTCTGATCATCGGTTGGATCTTCCTGAGCAGGAGGTTGGGAAACCACTGTGCTGCGGGAGGTGGATGTTGATGGAACTGAACTCAAAAAATAACAACAGGGCATATGAAAATCTATGAGGACAGGCATATGATTATGTATGTGCACAGCATTTTCTACTACTACAACTTAATACTACTACCGTAAAGAATATTAGGGCATAACATTATTGTCATTGTTATATGTTCTCTACAGAAGTAAAAACTATTGAACTCACAGTCATCTGTATCTGCGGTTGGAATTTATATTTGATCATCGGTTGGATGTTCCTGCGCAGGAGGTTGGGAAACCGCTGTGCTGCTGGAGGTGGATGTTGATGAAACTAAACTCAAAAAACAACAACAGGGCATATGAGAATCTCTAAGGGCAGGCATATGATTATGTATGTGCACAGCATTTTCTACTACTACAACTTAATACTACGGCCATGAAGAATATTAGGGCATAACATTATCAATTAATGTGGAATAATGAACTTACAGTTGTCATCATCGGGGATGGGAGGGGGAACATCATCCTTCCCTGGATGTGTTGGTTTTAAAAAAGAATGATCCTGAGGAGAGATGAGAGGGAAACATATTGTTAAGTTCAACATGTATTATGCACTTGATGTACTCTTGTGGTGGGTGCACATATCATATGTACTGCCCAACACATATTTCTCCCTTTCTGGCACTATTAAGTTCATTTCATCATTATGCAAAGCTTATTATAGAAGGTGTACTTTAGTATTAAATACTATTAGGCTGTTGTTGTTGTTGTAGTTAGACTGTCTGCCTCACTAAACTTTCTGTTGTTTTCTGCTGGTTGAGACTGGAGAGTGACGCACATCTCCTCCTGCTGGCTAGCTTCATGTAGCTGTGTCCTGTTACGCATTCGTCATAGCTTAGTTTATAGCTTATTAGCCGCTATGGAGTCCGTGACAACACAACACAGTTAGTCAGAAAAACACAACAATGCACTTACCACTGTCTTTCTTTCTTTTTTCCTCCCTTTCCTTCCTCTGTTTTTTCTTGTCTGCCCCGCTGGAATAACTCCTCTTCATCTTTTCGCAAGTGCGGCGCTCGGTGGCCGCTAAACAAACAAACAAACCTTGCGGTTCGCACTGATTGACACAGACAGCGCTGAAGGCAGAAGGGGCGTGGGGGCCCCCAAGGGGATTTGTTACGTCGCTTTTTCATAGTAAATGCCCGTTGTTGTCGTTGCCGTGCAGTACATTTTTTAGCGCTTGGGGCACCCAGTCACTCGGGAGGATGCGCAAGTGGGGGCTCCCTGGAAGCCGGGGCCCCAGGCAATTGCCTGGTTTGCCTGTCGGCAAGCCCCGCCCCTGCCCGCCCGGCAAGCGCAGGAGGCGGCGGAGAGAGAGGAAGCAGAAGCAGGGATGCCGGTCGGGCTCGGCTGCTTGGCTACATAAGCAACCTCACAGGCCAGCAGTACCGAGCCTTTTCCTCTCAAACACCAGATCCATCACCCAAAAAATGGACGAATTGGAGCTACAGATGGCCACGACGAGCTCGGTACGAAACTGCAACATCTTTATTACGGAGTCGTGACTTCACCTGCTGATTCACGATGCTGCAGTCGAGCTAGCAGGCCGTACGCTACTCTGGCAAGACAGAAACCGGACTCGGGTAAGAGCAGAGGATGGGGGCTTTGTGTTTACGTTCACAACGAGTGGTGTTGTAACAGCAGGATCATTGACACACACTGTTCTCCCGATTTAGAGGTTGTGGCAGTCTCGTGCAGACCTTTTTATCTCCTGAGGGAGTTTAACGCCATAAATAAACAGCAGCTCACCCATCCCGACGCGGTTCTCATTGTGGCTGGCAACTTCAACCAAGCGTGCCTAAAGTCTGTGCTCCCCAAACTCACCCAGTTTGTAGACTTTGCCACCAGATTGAATAATACTGTGGATTATGTCTATTCTAACATCAAGCATGCATACAAAGCTACACCCCTCCCCCACCTGGCTGGATCTGACCACTTCAGCATGTCCCTCACCCCCACCTACACCTCCCTGTTGAGGAAAACAAAACCTGAGAGAAAGACAACAAAGACCTGGGGCCTCATGTATCAACGCTTGCGGCGCAAGAAAACCTTGCGTACGCCAAAATCGGCGCACACGTCCAGATTTATCATCGCGAAACGAGCGTCGGTTCCAGCGCTAATCAACGCAGGTCAGGAGGTGGTGTTGAGCTGGATATTTGCGTTGACTGTGATTCGCACTTTGGCGACGCTGTGTGGCGGTGTTTGGTGACTCACTATGTGACAAGCGTGCACCACATCCCCGTGGCCGAGCAGCACGTCGCCCCACATGACGAACCAGCAGCAGACGGAGGGATGCGAGCTGATCCCTGCCGGGCCGCCGTCCTCGCGCGGGAGAATCTCATCGCCACAGTGTGAATGGGTAAGAAGTGAATACACAGTTCAATGAGCCAAATTAATTTATTTTCTCCACCAGACGCTCGAGGAAATTTACGAGCCGGTCCAGCCGCTCGTTGATCCCCGCGATCCCCCTGATGATTTCTTCCTGCGATTGCAGGACCCCCTCCGCGAGGACCCTTCCACTGCGTCCGGGTGGTCCAGCGGAAGCGCCGCGGCTGGTGGACGCTCCACCGCTTGTCGGCGCGCTGGTGCTGATGCTGGTGCTGGGGCCGGGGGCCGGGGTGGCCCGAATGCCGCTGGTCCTGGCCGACGACTCCGAGCCGGCGGACGGGCTGCCGCGGGCCAGGGTTCCGCAAGCCGGCGACACGGCCGACACATTAATTTTTGTGACACAATAAAAATATTTGTTCATTTCAATTCCTGCTTCTGTGTATCTGTTGCGTTTACATCTCTCTCCACGGTATCATAGGTAATGTAATCCAGTATTTCGAGGTCAGTTATGCACATTACAGTTGTTTATTGCATAAAAAGTTATCGAAAAATGAAGTTAAGGGCGAAGTATAAATCACGTCTAAAAATAGACTGAATCCCGACGTTGAAATGAAGTATAAACTTAGACTAGACGTCTAATATACGTCTTTTGCTCAGTGGGATGACAAAGCATGTGGACATTTGTGTGACACGCCACTTACCCTTTAATAATAGTCGCCACCACCCGCTGCTCAAACGGCGTGAGGGTCTCCTCCCCCGGACCCCCACCTGTCTGGCCGGTACTCCTCCGGAGGGCAGCTGTACGCCGCTTGACCTCCACCTTGAGGTCCGACCACTTTTTTTTAATCTCCGCGGGGGTGCGTGTCCCGGAACCCACCGCATTCACCCTCTCGCAAACTTTCTCCCACTCCAAGCGTTTTTGTTTTGCACTGACGCCACTGGACAGGCTGCCAAACAAAACACGCTGTCGCTCCTCCACCTCCGCCACCAGCACCTCCACCTCGCACGCCGTAAATGTAGTTTTTCTTGTCATTTTGTCTGCGTGCGAGGACAGGGAGACCCTATTTAAATAAATCTGCATATTTATAGGAGGGCGTAACGGGGGCGGGCCCAGTCACTCCGACATCTGCGCTCAATTCCACGCTGATTGGGATTTATCAAGGAAACACACGTGGATTTCAGCGCCCGCACACATTGATACATACGGATTTTTTTCAGCGTGAAGGACCTTGCGTGCGCTCGTTTCTGGTATGAGTTCCACGCAAGTGTTGATACATGAGGCCCCTGGCCTGAAGGAGCCCTCTCTCAGTTACAGGACTGCTTCTCCACTACCATATGGGACTTATTCTTCAGCTACAACCTCCAGGAGTTCACAGACACTGTACTCTCCTACATCAAGAACTGTGTTGACAATGTCACCGTCAACAAAAGGGTCAGGATGTTTGCCAACCAAAAACCCTGGATGAACAGCGAAGTGCAATCCCTCCTGAAAAAACCTAACAGTGCCTTCTAGTCAGGAAACAGGGCAGTGTATAGCGAGGCCAGGGCGGACCTGAAAAGGGGCATCAGGGAAGCCAAGGAAGCCTACAGGAGAAGGATTGAAGATCACTTCGCTGATAACAACCCCAGAAGGATGTGGCAGGGGATAAATCACACCACAAACTACAGATGCACTCATCAGACGACAGCTAGGACTGATGCCTCACTGGCAGAGGAATTAAACCGCTTCTTCGCCCGCTTTGAGATGGTCAGGCCCTCAGCGGTGACAGTCACAGCATCCCTATCCCCCCAGCACCAGCACAATGACACTCCAGGAGCAGGAAGTAAGACGTGTGCTAAGGACAGTGAACCCCAGGAAGGTGGCCGGCCCCAACGGAGTACCCAGCAAGGTACTCAAAGCGTGTATCTTCAACCTGTCCCTGTCTTTGGCCACCGTCCCTCCATGCCTCAAGACCTCCACCATCATCCCCATTCCCAAGAAGACAGCTGTGGACAGCCCCAATGATTACAGGCCTGTCGCACTTACGCCTGTAATTATGAAGTGCTTTGAGAGACTGGTCTCTCAGCACATCAGGACCCATCTTCCTCCCACTCTGGACCCCTACCAGTTTGCCTACAGGTCAAATCGATCCACCTAGGATGCTATCTGGAGCACCTGGGGAACTATGTGAGGATGCTCTTCCTGGACTTCAGCTCAGCTTTCAACCACATCATCCCGGAGATCCTGATCCAGAAACTGTCCCTCCTTGGTTTCTCCACCACCATCTGCCTCTGGATCAAGGACTTCCTGACAAACCGTCCACAATCTGTCAGACTCAGCCCCCACCTCTCCAGCACCATCACACTCAACACCAGCTCTCCACAAGGATCTGTTTTGAGTCCCCTCCTGTTCACACTCTACACATCCGACTGCTCCCCGACCCATCTCTCAAACGCCTTCATAAAGTTTGCAGATGATACCACCGTGGTCGGACTCATCTCAGGGGGAGACGAGTCCAACTATAGAGATGAGGTTAACAGACTGTCTGCGTGGTGTTTGGTAAACAACCTCCAACTGAACACCACAAAAACAAAAGAAATCATCATAGACTTCAGGAAGGGCAGACCGGACCCGGCCCCACTTTAAATCCACAGGGATTGTGTGGAAAGAGTCCACACCATGAGATTCCTGGGTGTGCAGATATCCGAGGACCTCTCCTGGACCGCAAATACTTCTGCAGTATTTCTCCACTTCCTGAGAGTGCTCAGGAGAAATAACCTGGAGGAAAAGTTGCTGGTGACCTTCTACAGAGGCACCATAGAGAGCATCCTGGCGTACTGCATCACAGTTTGGTATGCGGGGTGCTCTGCAGCCGACAGGAGAGCACTACAGAGGGTCATCTGCTCAGCCCAGAAGATCACAGGCTGCCCTCTGCCCAGCCTCGACGACATTGCCAACTCTCGCTACCTGAGCAGAGCTGGCAACATCATCAAGGACTCCTCCCACCTTGGAAACCACCTGTTTGACCTGTTACCATTGGGCCGAATGTACAGGTCACACAAAACACGGACCAACAGACTCAGGGATAGCTTCTTCCCGAGAGCTATCACTGCAGTCAACAACAACAAGTCCAGTTAAACCCGTCCCCCTCAACTAACTTATATACTGATCACACTGATCAAATGCAATAAATGTATCATTTAATGTATCACCGTGCAATAACACTGGGCTTCACGTGCAATTTAACGGGTCTCATATCACTCCTCTTTGTATATACAGTATATATTACTGCCTTTTTACTTTCTTTTTCTATTTTATTCTTCACTTATCTTGTGTTGGCTTCCATTTTAAGTATTTAATTTTTCACTATTACAATTGCTCTGCACCAAATGGGGTGGCTCTCAAATTTCGTTGTACTGTGTACAATGACAATAAAGGCGATTCTGATGCTAAAATATTTATCTTTATTATATTTAAATTTAATTGGAAGCACCATTGTTGTTTTAAACGATCCTGCATAGTAGAAGAGCAGATAAGTGAGATAATCGTTAAGTTGGTGATACTTGGGTCACTTTACTTGGAACGTGTCCCAGCCATTTAAAATTTCAAGATGGCAGCCATTTTTCAACTGGAAAACTGGCCACCTAACTGGTACAATTAGGTGTTGTCCTTGTTAAGTTAGTGATATAGGCATTAAAATTGGTATGAACAGTCTTCATGAGTCACTCAACAAGACAATGCCTCAAGTTGCTTGAAATTTCAAGGTGTCGTACATTTTTAAGATGGCTGCCATCTCATTAGAGCAGTTAAATGATGTGAAGTTGG